GTCGATTTAAAAAGATGAAATTCTAAATGATAGATATATAATCAAAACTACAATTTCTCTCTCAGAGTTGTCTTAAACTATTTCTTAACAACATGCATATTGTTTAATACAACAGCTGGTTGTGAACGTCTTGCCGGTTTAATTTGAGTGAGGAAACGATGCGGCATTAATTCTAATTATAACTCCCTCCCTTTTCTATTTACTAACCTATTCCCATGTTTACTCGAAAAGGCGCGTCGGAGCGTGGGTGCGCAGGCATCCGCACTAAATTGGGGAGTAGACAGAGACAAGAACAGTTGGTAAGCATTTAGCACCGTGCGGGGAAGAGAGAGGGTATCAGTGATTCAGTCAATACCGCGCGTGTCGGGTATTGCGTACCCACTAGTATGTACATTATGTGGGCATAGCGTACGTGATAACTGATGACCACTTTCTAATTTACTAGTGTTGTGACGAAACGCACCGAATTGCTGTGGTGCTCATAGAATACTAGGTAACGTTCCACATTTACTTTCTTACTGTAATGCTTCATTGGCGGAAGAGCATATAACACAGTCTACATTGGCATATGGCCCAGCAGAGATAATGTCTAACTAGATTTGTTTAAATTTACATTGCATAACATTCTTCAAGTAACCTGTCTCGTTTTTCATTCTCATGAAAAGATAGCTTTAATACACCATTATATCAAAGACGTGTATTCCTTGAAGTTGTAATCTTGCAGTGTTTGTTTTTAACTCTGAATTCGGCCATGTGTTTGCTGCACCGGATGCCTTCCTAAGCTTGAGCGGACGTACACGTGTGGCATCCGCATCCGGATCTATGCGGGATCTTTTCAGTTTAGTTATCGTAACAGGGTGACAATCGTCGTAGCAGTTTTCGCATTGCGTGCGACGCGAAAATCAGATTTTCACCGAGCACGAGTTTCTATTTCAATCCAATTTTCCCGGCGCGCGGTGAAACCGATCGCTCCAGTTGTGCGACTCCGGCCCACATCTCTTGCTAGAAAGTATCGTAGAAAGTAATATTCTTAGACGATCTCCACCCAAGCGATACATCGATCACGTGTTTAGATTTTTTTCGCTGCATCGCTTTTTGCTGCAGAGAATTATACATGTTAATCATTGATCTAGATTCCGATGGATTATTTCACGGGCTGGATTATTGTTGTATGTATAAATGTATTATAATAAATATTGCATATGTTCAATTAAAAAGTAATGATATTAATATTATAAATGCGAAAGTTTAGATGGATGGATATGGATGTTTGTTAAAGGTTGTAGCTTAAACTTCGAAGAAATTTGGTATAGATGTAGAGGATAGTCTGGAAGAACACGTAGGCTATTCACCTAAGTTTTTTTTTTTAATTCAACGCGGACGGAATCGCAGGCGAAAGCTGATAATTTATAAACTAAACGTTTGGTATAGTTATGAATTCTTAATCACTTATTACGCTGTTTAGAGGATAAGTAATATTTTATTTAAAAGCAGTGGGTGCTGTTAATAGCTTCTTAACATATTAAACATTTACTTTCGCCATGGCCGAATTTGAATTACGCGGTATGTGGCTTGGTAAGTCTTGTGCAATACCTAACTTTGGGCAACTTTCACTGGCGTTATACGCGGCCCGCTTGCAAATTATTGCGTCGCCCCTGCCCACGGGGTCGCAGTGAAAGTTTTCGGTAAGGTATTGTTTTATCGTTTCGAAGAATGACACCGTATGACCCACTGTTTCCTGACTAAACGTACTGTTAACCAAAACCTTTGTCATTTCAATCGTTCGGTTTTTTCTTTAGAGAAATATACGAATACTAGCTTTCGCCCGCAACTCCGTTCGCGAGGAATTAGAAAAAACAATAGTAGCCTATGTGTTTTTCCAGACTATATTCTACATCTATGCCAAATTTCATCGAGATCCTTCCGTTTAGACTACAAACTCTAACAAACATCCAGCCATCCATCGATTCAATCAAAATTTTTGCTTTTTCAATATTAAGATTTAGTAACTGTAAAAATGACTTATGTCTATGTCGAGTAATATGTATTCCCAAGGTAGGTTACCTATTTTATTTTGCAAATATATTTCAAAGATGCCAAGTTTAATTGAAAAACTTTGTATTGAAATGTGCATTGAACTCGATAGACAAACTAAGTTATGCTAGCATTTAAATATTTTAATTCAATTAAAATAAAGTAACCTTGTTTAATTATAAGCTATTTGAATGATACAGTGACAAACAATGTTCTGTACACGCTTATTCAAATACCTTCTACAAATTATTTCGGAAGAGAAATCACTCTAAAATTTGTAATAGCATTTTTACCATAATTTCAAACTTTTACGCGTTAAAACGAAAATAATCTTGATGTAAGATAAAATTAACAAATGTTCAGCAATAGACAGAGTCTAAAAGAGCTTTACCAGATATAAAAATGTAGAAGCTACCTTTAACCGGACGGTTATTATTTTCAAGACATTGCAAGTCTAAAAGAACGTAAAAGTTGAATCGCGTGAGAGGAAAAACGAGTTATTATTAGTTAGTATAGAGAATCGCGAGGTTGCTCGGAGCACTGATGCTATCATAAATAATGTGGTTGCGCGGGGAGTGCGCGGGGCGGGGAGAGCGAGTGTCAGCGGGGTCGGGGAGGGGTTTCCAGTGCTTGTGCGGGGGGTCGGAGGGGGAGGAGATGTAAGAGTCAAGGCCGCACGCTGCCCCCGGTCGTCGCTCGCGCCCCACTTGTCGCTCTCGAGCGTCGCGGGCTCCTCTCGCTCTATCAGCCGAGCAGCCCCGAGTTCAGCCGAGGCGGCACGAACTAGACCTTCCTATGCGCGGGCGCAGTACAACGAACAGCTGACACGTAATAACATAACACACTGACTCGGTCATTCGTGCATTCAACTTTTGATTGGCTTTCTTTTTCATGAGCATTGATTGGATCTTCGAGCACTATTTATGAACGTTACGGAATTCTGTTTACAAACGATCTTTATTGAAGAAATTGAAGTATATTTAACGAAATAATGAACATGAAACCATCTTAGTCTTAGCATAAATAAAATCAGTGCTTTCTAACACTCAAAGCGTTAACTATTAAAAGCATAGGAAATCAAAAACTCGTTTAGCTCTCGTACATTCCCACGATTGACCGCGGAACATAATAGGCAAAGCGCGTATCAAATTCCGCGTCTTTATCAAGCCTGGCTCTGCGGCACGACCGCGACTTCGCCGACAGAACCAGTTCTAGGCATCCCGGACACTTTCACCGCAACCAAGCTAGCTAGCAATAATAACCCACAAAATGTTATTTAATATACGCAATCTAATTAAATGAACATAAACTACAGATCTCCGATGTCTCTTTGAAAACAATTCAATTGGTACGCAACTTCGAATAATAGTCCCTTCGTGCAGTGAAATTACTTGAAACTTAAATCAAAAGAATAATAACACGGTTCTGTAAGAAATCTCTTATTACAGTAGCGTTTAATGTGATAACAGAGTACAAAATCCATTTAAAATGCAGACTATATGAAATAATTATATAATAATACGTACACGCTTGCAACTGAACGAGGTCACCCAGTTCAGTGCTCCGTTTTTATTGAAGTCATATTGGCGCGGCCATTTTATTTAAAAACTACTTTGATGTTAGTGTCACCATAAATAAAGCCGGGATAAAATTGCGCACTTGACCTCTTTATTGAGGCATTTTTATCGTTCAAATGGCTCGCAGTGAGAGACGTAAATCACAGCGACATCTAGCGAACGATAGTCGGTGACGCTTGCCAATTCTAGCAGTAAATAAGGTCGCTAGGTAAGAAGCGTGCTTTGTGGAATGATTATTTGTAACGTTGCATATCTTTGCTCTACATATTTCAGTTTGTTTCAACAAATACTGATTTATTGACATTTAATTATGTTTACGCTGTCGGAGTTTTGGTTAAATAAACATTTTGTTTCCAACAATAATTAGTAGGTTAAAATGCGTAAAGAATTGTGTTTTCTCTTGATTTCTATTTCTAATTTTGAAGTAAGATTAGAGAGTAATCTGATGATTTCTAAGAAGTTTTTGTGACCTTTAAAATTCTATATTTTTCTTATTTAAGAATGTTACAGTAGCATGTTGAATTAGTGGTACATATACAGGTTGCACGGACAGGTTTCTATTAGCGTGAAAGGCGAGACCGTTTATGATGCATTCGCGAATGACTCGGCCTCCGACCGGCCGGTCTCACGACGAACTAGTTTTTTAGCAGCACACAAAACGGCCGGTTGCGCAACGTACGGCCACCGACCCGTGCATATGAGAATATAAACATACCTACAAATCATTGCAGGGCATATAAAACATTACACGCAAGATTAAACATGTACAAAACACGTCAGGCATTAAAAATGTTAAGACATATTTTCAGATTTAAATAATAACAGGCTTAAATTCAGAGCATATCATCTCCCAGTTTCGTAAGCGTCAATATGCAATAGCTATTAAGGTAAATAGGTAAAAAAATCACGTACCCAAAAAGCTATAAATACATTTGCAATACTGTTCGCCTTTTAAGGAGTTCCGACTGCGTGATTGACAAGCGCCTATTAAATTTCCATCGCACATCGCATACCCTATTCCCGGACCTGTGTGGCATACGAACTGTGCCACGCCTGATTAGTATGCGGACGGGTGCCCTATCCACCTTTTGTTTGGACAGGAAACGGCCACGTTGCCGCCGAAAATTACTTACCCGTATTTCGTTACCAAAACATCTCTTCGAAGTCGGATCGGTTGTAAAAATGAGAAATAAAATCACTCCCCGCTCGTTCGACGTCTCAGCTAAAGGTACATGAAATGTATGCAAATTTTATAGCGTCCGATTTTAGATGTTTTTGACACCCGCCTTTTGGGCCACTGGACTTTGAATGTTTGCACAGTTGAAAGAACTTTAACATTTATATAAAATGCACTTATGAAGTTGTTTATAGTCTTAAATTAACGTAGGTATGAACATGGTAACCCTAATACTGGTGTACGAAATAGAAAACTTATATCTCGTTCTACCTTACCTAAGTTCTGCCTTTGCTAATGTTTTAATTGTCTTGTTACAGGTCGTGAGGAGTTGTCCCCC